ACACATTTTTGCTCTACAGTCCAATTGTGCACCATTCCAGGAACCAGTGACCTGGTGCAAAGCTCATCAGTGCATTGTTTTCCCTTGTAATAAAAGCTGTGATTGCATCACAACACCCCAAATATTTTGGATGATTTTCCATGGGTCCTGTGATCTTTGCTGCTCACATCTGGCTGCTCTCCCATGATGAAGCTGCACTTGGGGCTGCCCCACCTTTCAGCCCATGTGTGGGCAAATGCTGCAGGTGCCAAATTGCCCTGTGCTGGACCAACACCTTCATATGATCATCCCAGACCCTGGGAAAAGTCAAACTGGGGCTTTGCCAGAGCAAGGACTGACTTTTGTTTTGCTGCCATGAGCTTTGTCCTTCTGACATGAGCTGTTAGAAACCCTGCACCTTGTACCCAGGACACTTCAGAGCCATTCCAGGCTCCTTTACAGTGTTTGCTTGCATAGATTAGTGACTCCAGCTGTAACTCATAACCTCCACTGGATTTGGCTCCTATTAGGGCAATTCTTAGCTGCATTCCTGTGTCCAACAAAGATTCTATTGCATCTTCTCTAAAAATACAGAACTGATGGAAGGAAACACAGCCAATGTGGTTTATGGGCCCTCTTGTCTTACCTTTCCCTCTAAAGAAACTGATGTCAAAAGGCTCATGTGGTGTGAATTAGGCAAGATTTACCAGAGACAGTGGAGTTTGGGCTTGGTTTTACTTGTTTGTTTGTTCAAATACTATGGTTTACTATGTTATTTATGGTTTCTAGGCAAGATTTTTCAAATGGTAGGGGTACCATAAAATTTGGAGGAATAGGGACAGTATTGGCAGAAAATGCAGGATCTCTCAGTAACTGGATAGAGGATTATTTTTTTTAAGCAAAGTTGAAGTTTAACACACAAAAAGGGTAAGGACTCCTTCATTGTTTTGTTTCATTGACAACACTTAAGATTACAGAAAATATGAATCCAAGTGTTCTGAGTTGATTAAAGCCTCATGCTGGTGCTTGTGTAAAGAACTCTTCACAAATCCTCAAGTTTTGGTTTTGTTGTAAGATGCTGTAACTATTCCTTTGATTGACCTGGCCATGGTGAGGAACAGTTAAGGAGCTTTTAGTTCTTGGGATTTGCATTTGAGTTTCCTTAGGGTAGACTAATCCCTGATATGGGGAGGAGGTGACTCATCTGGAGAGAACTGAAGCCCTGAGTGCTGCTCCCTGGAGAGGAGGGACAGCTTTGGGCTGGGAGTCTGCAGGTGAATGAGATTTTTCAAAGCAATTTCTTGCTCTTGCTGTGTTAAATTGTGCTGCTAGAGAACATCCAGTTGCGTGGAAAAATATTTCCTGACTCACTTCTAATTTCATAAGCCACAAGCCCATCCAGGATTGCTGTTTATCTTGTCTAGGAACCAAGATAGAGCTCTGCTGCATATTTAATTAGATGGGGGAAGGCAAAGAATTTTAAGATAAGATTATCTTCTGTTCCCCATCACAGCTCTCATGTAAGAAGTTTTCATGGCATGCAAACCAGAGTCTGATGGTAAGCCACTTGTTTTTGAGGACACTGAAAACAGTTTTGCAGAGTAATACTTTTTAATTTTTTTTAATACTCATATGAATTCTTTTCTGTGTATGAGGAAAAAGATTAGTTATGTGTTTTTATGAAAATGAACAAGGAGATGTAAAGAGATATGTGGGAACCTGGGGCTCTTGGAAGAATAAACACTTTCATTCCTATGGTTGTTGAAAGCAGCAGAAGAAGGACAAATGAAGAGAACCTGAATCCATGTTTCTCATTGCTGCAATAATTCTAACAATAATCAGAATTAATTATTCCAGCACTGGGAATAGCAGTATGAAGTCAGCCATAAGCCAGAGCAATGGAGTTTCACAAACACAATTGGGTTTATATTGTGGTCCCCAGTTCCAGTTCTGCAAAGGTTTTTGGGTATGTTTAGGGGCTGGCTGCTAGTCCTTGCTGTGGAGGCAGCTGAAGTAGCAGAGTTTGAGCTGGCAGAAGGGGTGTGAAGAGGATGCAGAACCATGATGGAGTCCTGTGAGGTTTTCTGTTTAGTTTAAATCTTCAGTGTAGGCAGCAGTGTGCAACAAGTGTGGCAGCTCCCTATCACTCTCACACAGAAACCAGAAATGTCATGAGCTGCCCCACCACAGCTGCAGACCATCCTCTGCTCTGTCTGAGCTAATCTGGTCCTTTGTGACTCAAAACCCTTCAGACCTGTGCCCTCCCCTTGCAGTGAGGGCAGAGGAAGCCTGGCAATGCCTCTAGAGCTGCTCAGTGCTTTCTGTACTGTCCAGGGCTTGCTCAGGAGTTGGGGTCCTGCTCCCCTTCTGGCAGAAGGATGCTGAAGGCAGAGGAGATGGTGCTTTAGACCCAGTGTTGCTAATTCTGGAACTCTGAACAAGTTGTTACTCCTATTCAATCAACTCCCTACATGTGATCTTAATGGTTATGAAATACTGGCTGCACTTTGGTAATGAGTCACTGATGGGTATCAGGTGATGGCTTGGTGTGGGGAGTGACTGGATGAGCCTCCTGTGGATGTGCTGTAACCTGGCCAGAGGGGATGTGCATGCACTGAGACAGGCACAACACACCTCTAAGGAGATCAAAGTTCATCAGGCTGCTCACGAGTCTGCCTTGGTCCAAGAGCATTCTGCATCTCTCTGCTGCTCAGAAAGGGATCCAAGTTGCTCTGGGCCAGAGGGAGATCCACAATGTTGGAGGGAAAGCTGGAATTCCTCACACAGAGGTGTCTGTAGCTTTCATGCACTGCAGTAAAACTCAGCCTGTCATTAAGCATTCATGGTGCCAGACAAACAAATGAAATTCAGGAACAAGTAACTGCCTTTGTGGTTTTGTGAGGACCTCTGTGTCCTTGCACTTCCAAATGCTGGCATAATAAATCCTGAAGTGCCTTTTTGCTCACAGCAGACAGGGTTAATACAGCTGTTGGCTGGTGTGTCCGCTAGAAGAAACAATTGGCAACCCTTAGGTGGATAAGCAACAGAGGCCTGCAACCCCCACAATTTTCTCCCCTTTTGAGAAATTAAGACATAGTACAAAAATGTTCTTTTTTTCCTCCTCAAGTCCATAATCAGACATGACATAAAGAACAGTCACTTCTGCAATGAGTGTTTTGGAGAGTGCCTGTTAGAGTGAAGATGCTCGGATGTTCTGCACAGCTGGAGCCCCTGTGGGGCCAGGCAGGCCCAGAGTGACCCAAGCACCAAGGCAGCACATCCCACCCACTGCCCACAGCCCCTCCTGCCCTCCTGGCTTGGGGACCAAGGCATGTCCAGCTGTACAATGCCTTTTTTTACTCAGCAGCTCTTCCACAAGGTGAGAAGGGAGCTCGTGGGAATGCTCAGGCATGCTGGCCATAAACTTCAGGCTATAAATGCATCTTCCCTCATTCCCATTTTACCACAGGGAAATCCTGAGCAGGACACAAATATTCTCTCTGACTTTACCAGCTTTCCCTTCTGCTTTTTTCAACATAATCACATCCACTGATTTCTTCTTGTTTGCAGGTCGTGTTTGCAGCTGGAAACTCAAAACACTATTTATTTTCTGTATGGGTTCCTAATCTGGAAATGGATCTAATTTGCTTTACCAAATTATAAGCGAATTAAGATGAACACATTGTGCTGTGTCCGGATACATCGCGGTGCTTTCATGAAAGAGGAAAAACCACATTTGTCACTGCTGTGATTTTCTTCTTTCCCCAGTATCATTAACTCCATGTTCCCAAAAAATATGAAACAAACATCTCTATAAATGATGGCAGAAGTTAAGGAGCCAGAGCTGCATCTGTTTCACATCTTTCATCCTTTCAGCCCCTTAAGAATATCCCTGCCCACACCTGCAATACTCTTCCCTTGCAGTCCCTCCCCTTGCTCTTAGACACATTTTGATTATCTGCAATATTGCATTTGATAGTATTGCTAAGTAGTTCTGAAAATTTTCCTTTTGGCAACTGCTTCTTGACTTTTGAATGGAATTTTTTTCCCTACCTGTAAATCAGCTTTAGGGCCTTGTATGTCTAAGGAGAGTAAATACCCCACAGCTCCAAATGAAACAAGTATTTTGCATTTCCATTTCCTGACCCATCAGGAAAAATTTTGTGCAAAATGCAAGAGAAATGTCAAAGTGATAAAACAGCATTGCTTGTGGTTCTTTCTCTGGTTAGAACAGTTGGTGTTATGGAAAACATTCAGCACTATCCAGACTTTGTGGAGGGCAAATACTTTATAGGTATCACTACATTTTAATGACAATTTTACTGACTGACAAATACTACCTCAGCTGAGATTTTTGTTATAATTTCTTAGTTTACTTTTTTAAACCTGAAGCATATCTGAAGCACATTTCTTTGCTAGGAAAGTTTGCAGTCTGCATGTGAGATGGACTCCCTATACTGCATTTATAGGTACAGACATCAACTTTATTTTTCTGCCACCAAACCACATTTATTTTGAGATGTGGTAAGCACTGCTCCTTTTCATAAAATCTGTTTAAAGCAACTGATTTGCAAGATTATTTTGTAGCTGAGAACAATTAAGAACTCTAACAGCTTAACCAGCTGTGATAATTAGCACTCACTAAGCCTGTCTTTGGGGAAATACAGCACACTGTCTTCTTATTTTAGTTCTTCCATAGTAAGGACTGAGAAAATAATGCAAATAACCACTGATCTCCTGAGCAGCTCCTTGGGATGGGAAGCCTGGGGCAGAGTCAGGGCTGGGTGTGAGCTGCCCCAGCAGTGATTTCTGCCTGCCCAGCTCCCAGGGTGTGTCATTTTGGTAATCACAGGTGAAAATTTAACTCGTCATCATGATGTAAGCAAAGCCTGTTGTGAGCTGGGGTGGAAGTGCGCGCTCCTCCCTTCTGGCAGGAAGGGCCATTTTTACTTTAGTCAGTCCCAGCAGCAGCCTCCTGGGCCCCTGCCCAGGCTGGTGGGGCAGTGGTGGTGCAGGGCAGGATGCTGGGGAGGCTGCTGGGGCACAGCCAGAGGGTGGCTTGGCCACTCCTGTGCCCCGCCAGGGCTGCTGGCAGCAGAGCAAAGAGCGCCCGGGACGCGGCTTTGCAGGCGGCTGATCCAGGTGGGTGGAAAGGCCTTGGTCACTGTGTGGTGCTGCAGCGTGGAGGGAAAGGGTGAGAAAATGAGAAAATGAGCCTGATTCTCAGCCATGGCTGAGTTACTGCAGGGCTTTGTCTCCTGGGGCAGGGAGCACACCCAGGGCTCTGGCCAGCACAGTGCACAGGGGTAAAGCTTTTTCTATTACATAGCTGGTCTGCTATGGCAGCAAATACCAACTGATGCTTCATGTCAGGAAATCTGCCAATTAAAACAAATAAATGTTCCTCCTCCTACCCAGCTGCCAGGTCTCCAGAAGAGGATCAGTGCTTGTCCCTGAGTGTGCAGGGCTGGTGCAAGTGGAGGATTTACTCCCCTCTGCTTCCTGCTCTGCTCCTTGCAGTTTACAGCCACAGCTCTGTGTGCTTGTGCCAGGCACTGCCCTGGACTGGGAGGCAGGGAGTAGGCATGGGCTGCTCCCAGATGAACAAGCTTCCTGGTATGGACAGAGTTTCTCTTTGCACCACCACCTTCTTGGCTGTGCCTTTGCAGACCCCTCACCCTAGGAAAAGTTGGGCTGCATGGGCCTGGCTGTGCTCCTGTGGGATGGCTGGGGGTCTCCAGCATGGGCCTTTGCCCTTGTCTTCCTTGGGATGGAGCATCTGCTTTTAGCAAGTGTACTGTTTGCTGCAGATTTGATTCTGGCACTTGCTGATGTAGCTCTCCTGGTCTCACTGCACTTTGTGAGAGAAATAGGAGAAGCAGGAGACCAAATTTACCTGGGCCAAGATTTACAACTGGGATTTTTCAGCCACTTACAAGTCCTGGCATACATGAGCTGCTCTGGGGCCAAGGCACTTACTATAATTTCACCAGCTCAACACAGGCAGGAAGAAATTCTCTCCATGGCCTGTTCTGTAGCAGCAGTGATTTCCTTTCAGCTGAGTACCAGCAATCCAGCAACAGGCAGGGAATGAGGATGCTGAGGTTAGAGACATCTTCATGTCCATCTCTTCCTGCTCATTCTGGTCACAACTGGACATTTCCCAACCCAAGCCCCACACCTGCAAACACAGTGTGGCTTCTTGGGTGCACCTACCTGGATGTAAATACTGGGTGAGCAGTCTCAGCTGCCTTGCAAAGACCACTTGTACAGGTGTGCACTGCAAAAGCCAGGCCTTGAGCCAGCCATTGCTTACTGTGTTTTCAGGTCTGTCTGCCACTGTCCTTGTTATTGGGCTTGTTTCCATCAAGAGGAGCCAGAGTCCTTTTCTCACTGTGCTCTGGGTGACAGCATGCAAATGGCATCACCGTGGTAGCCTGATGGGGTGTAATGTATCATCATTAGAGTGCAGTAATGTGGTACCCAGCTTGCATGAGAACAACTGCCAGTCTCCCACCAGGCTGCATTTTAGCAGACATCATCTCTCCATCAGTGATTTCAGGAGAAGCTGTGGAGGAGTTAGCTACTTGTGCTGCTGGCAGTTTGCTTAACTCACTGGTTGGGCCATTTAAAAGCAAGATACTCACAGGGTGAGATGTTGCTGTGGGCTCGAGGACTTCAGCCTCACACCATTTGCCCTCTTAATCAGGAAGTTTAGAAGAGATTTTTAGTTTAAAACCTACCAAAATTAAAGGGAAGAAAGTAAAATTAAATAAGCTGCAAATGTAACAAAGGACCTCACACCACCTGCTGAGTCTTTTTGATGTTAGAAAGCACATTTAGCTTCCACAGAATAGAAAAGTGTAATTTTAAACTTTCAATCCTTTTCCCTCTGTACCAACAGCTCTTTTTCCTTCTTGAAGCTTAGCTCATTGCTTTGTACGAAATCTCTTACAGGTAAAGAACCCTTCAGGAATGAAAGAAGGCCTACAAATTTTGATAAAAAGGTGCTGGTATGGTCAGGACGCTTTAAAAAGGAGGAGGACATTCCCAGGCACATTTCGTAAGTGGACCTGTCAGAATGATTTTTTTTGGCTGTGAACACACAGATTGAGACTCCAGTCTGCATTACCCAGAACTCTGCTCTTGCAGGGCTTAGTGCCTCCCCCATGCTGGTGTCCAAAAATAGCTGTAAATAATTGAAACTCTTGTAACTTTTTGTCATTCCCTGTGAGGTAAACAGGATTTGCTTATTTTATTTATCACAGATTTCAGACTAAGCTGAAGTATCTTTTGCAAGACAAGTGGCTTTGAAACTCAGAAGCCACCATGATAAGGTATCATTCAATCTGGGTTTTTACATGCTTTTCTAGGTTTTATTGATTATGATTAATAATGCTGCATCAATTTTAATTAGAAGCTGGGGCTACATACAGCTTTGGTGACAGACTTGTGCAATGAGTTCCTCATGTATGGGCTGTGGTTCCACCTCCTTGTTGAGACATTTTGTCAGAGGATTGTCACTCAATTTTGGAGTCCTAATGCTTCTGACTTGTGACATCCTGGGTTCACCTCCAGCTGTCCTTCCCCTTGCAGGTGTGAGTAAATCCTGGATATAATTTCAGGGATGGCTCATTGCCATGCTGCAGTTTCTTGCAAACGTGAATTGTTGGTTATATGCCAGGAATTACTCATGGAGGGTGGTGGAGATTTTCCAGTGATGGATGGGGCTGTTCAGCTGCTTGGGAAGCAAACTCCTGGCTAGTGCAGTTGTGTGCTGTGACCCAGTCAGCTTCCCACCACAGGCTGGTGGGGCTGGTGGCAGCTGCCTGGCAGAGCTGTGCCATGGTGGGCTTTAATTCCCTGAGGGTGGCATTGCCTGGCTCTGGGGGCATGGCCCCAGTGTGTCCTGGTGCTGCACTGCACCCTGCAGCACCCAAAGGTCAGCCCTTTCTTATTATAGTGGAAAGACTTTCCTGTCCCTGTCATTTTACAGGCTTTCACTCTCTCACACAATAAAAGAACACAGGAGAGCAAGAGTTTTTAATCCTGTTATTACTGATGGCTTTTGACCTAAATATTTTCTCCACAGGCTAATTTTTACAGTCCTCCTTTAAGCAGCTGCAGAAAGAGAAGGCTGAACCTCATTGTACATTGACAGGAAGTAGCTGCAGGACTTGAGCATTCATTACCCCTCTCCCCATGATCCCATTTCACACAGGCTGCTGCAGAATGGAAAATCTGCTCTGTCCTCCACAGGTCTGAGGTCCTTGACACTGCAAGGAACATGGCCAGGATAAAGGTTTGCTACATCATGATTGCACTGACTGTGCTGGGCTGTGTGACCATGATCATCTCAGGCAAAGAAGTGAGTATTGTTTCTGGGGGAACTGGTTCATTTAATGCATGGCCTATGTGTGTTCTTTGGAAATAAGCACCTGGGTGACAGATAGGTTTGAGAATATGTACACATGAGCAATGCATGCACAGGATCTGTATCACCCCTACTCCAGAGGAGACACTGGCACTGGAAAGCACAACCTGCTGATTAATGTGTTGCTCCTGACCCACACTGCCATGAACCTGTGCAGTGCAATGCTCTATATGATGGTGTATCAACAGGAGGCTGGGCCAAAGGTAATGGAATAGCTCAGACAGTGTCAATGGAAGCTGGTTCTGCCAGCCATGAGGCTCCTGTGGTCCTGCCTGCCCAGCCTGGATGCCACCATGAGCTGTGACTCTTCTCCCTATCCCACCCCACTGCTGCCTCTCCAGTTTGACTTGCAAGTCCCAGTGCACCTGTAAACAATTTACAGTGTAATTCTCCTGCTAATCAGAGCTGCAAATGCTGAAAATGTGGTCTAACAAGGAAACAGATTAACTTCTATCACTGCAAAATATCAAAACCTACAGTGAGGTGTCAAAGGAAGTGGTGCAGATGTGGGGAAATTTAGTGGTGGCAATTGTGTGCATGCAATGATTTCCACCAAATTGTTTCCAGGCTGCCAAGAAGAATCAGACTCTGCTAAGGGTGAATGCAGAAAAGAAGGCCAAATGGAGGGCTGAAGTGGAGAAAGGTCAGGAGGCAGCTGTCGGGAAGTCACAATGATTTGGAACAGATTTCTTTTAACATAAGGATATAAGTGATTTGCACATGTGGCATATGGACCTGTCTTCGTTTAACTCTTAAGAGCTTTTTCACTGAAACTCTCAGAGCAAAGACTTCACTGCTTAAAAACTGCTCCATGCAAACTGGGAACCTCCTATGGAAACCAGCTGCTTTTTGTGGCTTCTGGTCTTTGGCACCAGGCCTAGCTCATATACAAAGATCCCTTTTAAACTGCAAAGTGTGGAAAGGACAAATGCAGGACTCCCAAGCTCAGGATCAGCTTTTCATGGTGCTGCTGGTGCTCAGACCAGACCATGGTGCTGGTCTCCTCCAATCCAATCATTGCTCCCAATGATTGTCATGAAAGTTGTCTAGCACTTGCTTAGCTGTGATTTTAGTCCAGAGTAATTGTTAATACATGGTTTGCTAAAACTGAATTCTTTTTAATCATCATAGTTCATTAACTCATAATAAAACAGCTGTCCAATTACATCTAAAACAAACACATCTCTTCACAGCTTCATTTAGAGTGTCACCAAACTCTCTGGGATGATGCTTAACAGATGGGAGAAGTCCTAATGAGATATTGAAAATTACATTTTCATAAGTGACTTAACTTCAAGACAGGTCCCAGTTCATGCCTGTGGGTGCTGATGCTGTGATTCCTCAAGTGTCACATGTAACCCCTCAAGACCTGTAATGCTGCCTGGTGGAGCTGGATGTGCTGCATGGAGTCCCAAGGGACAGAGTGTGGCAAAACCCAGCCAGTCTGACCCCAGCTGCTACAGGAGGTGCTGTAGCCATGCTCAGCCTTGGGCCAATGTCCTGAGCATCACACTGGGGCTGGCCTTCCCAAGGTTTATTACTTGGAGCAGTCACACTTGTGCTCTAGGGGAGTTTGGAAGCTCCAGCTCGGGTCTCTGTGGTTTATTGTGTCAAAAATCAAATCCATTCATTGCTAAAGTGTCACTGCACAAACAAGCTGCTGGCAAAGCTGGGCTGAGGCATTGGCAGGTGGGCAGCAGTTGTTGGCCTCTGGGACTCCATCTTCTGTGCCTGTGGCTTTTGGGCAGTTTTTTCCCTCTGGTGCTTCTAAGGAGCGCTTCTCTCCCTGCTGTTTAGGGTGAGGGGGATGTTACCTCTGTCACATCTCCAGGCTTGCACTCCTTATTTCTGACTCACAGCCCCATGCAGTAGAGTTCACCAAAAGTGATGTCTGGTCCCTGTAGTATTCCTCACAAAGCACTTCTCAGGGAAGTGAAATAATGGTCTAGGACAAGTAGAGAGTGAACAAGTCTCTGCTGAGAAGACACTTTTGCTTCACAGGTAATATGGGCTCTTTCATTTTATATGACCTGGTTTTCTTGGTTAGTGCAATAAACTGCAAGAATTACCTCAAAGTTAGTGCTCATTTGGGGATAAACTAAAAGAGCTTCCTCAGTCTCTTAGATTTTTTTTTTAATTCTTAAATTACTTTCATGTGCCCTTTTTCAGAAGGTGTGTGTAACAATTAAAGGAACTATTTTGATGCTTGTAAACAAATCCACATGCATGTTCTGAGCTTCCCTGACTTAAGCAGGAAAGATGACCATAGCAATATCTAAAGAAGAAGAAAATTAATTGTGACTTGTTCCAGTCTCTGCTCTGCACTTCCCTCTGCCTAGGAAAGAAACCTGCTTCAGCTGTGAGCTATTATCAGATCCTCTTAAACAGCCATGGTCTCTGCCTACAGTGCATAAAGATGCCACATTACACATAGTCATTAGGAAAAAATCAATTCTTCCTTCCTGAGCCACTGGTAAAGCATCTGAGTGACCAGATGACCCAGGTGCTTTTGGGCTCTTATAAAGAGCTATATCTATTATGTAGGGAAAGATCCCTTACCAGTGCCTACATGAATATTCATTTGAATATCATATTACTCTCCCAAAAAACCAATTGGACTGACCTCTGGCTTGCACTTGGTTGGTGGTGGGTGGCTGCTGGTGTAGCACAGCCTCAGCTGGAGTCTCCCCTGTGTGAACTGGACATGCCTCTCCAACACTGGGACTTATCACTGCTTGTTAAAATCTGTTTCCATCTGTGTCTGCAAAGTCCTTTGACTCTCCTCTTGAAAAGCCTCTAATTAACACAGAGTCCTGAATGTATAATTGGCTGATCCTCAGCACCTTATAGTTGTGAGTTTCTTTATCTCCCCTCCCATCTGAATTGCTTCAGTGTCACACCTGATCCTCCAGGCATTTACAAAGGGATGGGAGGTGTTATTGGCTAGGAGCTATCCTTCCCTTTTTAATAAGGTGCCTTGTGTTTTGCCAGCCTGGCCCTGAGGAGAGGGGCTGGCTCCTTTCTGAGGCAGGGGACAGAGCTGAGACTGTGCTGGTTTGCTGGGGTGCTCAGGGAGACCAAGGGTGAGTCCTTTCAACTCTCACCTCCTCGTTTACTGCTCTGTGCTGGGGGGAAAGGGTTCTTCTTCCCTTGCAGGATATTTTTTCTGTTTTAATGAATTCTTGTGTGGCAGTGGTTAACAATGTACTGGTGGTTGGTGCCACAGAGATTTGCATTACAGTTACAATTATTGGGGAAGCTCTGCTGTAGTAGCTGGGGTTATCTAATTCTGCTTCCATTAAAACCAGTGCTGCGGTTCCTCCTGGCTGTGGATTAAGGTTATCATCCATGACTTTTTGAAATTTCAGTGATTTCCAGAGACTTAGCTTCCCCAGGGAGTCAGGCTGCTGCAGGGCAGAGCTGGGTGCACTGAGCTTTTTTCCTCCAACATGGTGAGATGAAGATTTTATGGGAGGCTCTGCATTGTGAGCCTCCCAGTTTACCAGAGGAAAAAAGTCTCAGCCAGGAGATCTCAGTCCCTTCATTTTACCTCTTGTTTTGACCTTCTCAGGGCCAAAAATGAATCAAGTGTCTAGTGACACTGGTATGTTTCTGCACTTGAGAAAGATTTTTTCCATTTTTTCTTGTGATTCAGAAAGATCTAATTTTAAAGACTACCCCGTTCTTCCAGTGTTTAGTTTCCCATCATGCTGAGAAACTGCTGCTTGTTTTAAGTCCAACTGCACACAGTTTCAGCTTCCAGGCATTGAACATTGTCTTCAACATGGAAACTTTCAACCCAACTCTTCCCTGGGTGTTAGCAGTCACCCCTCAGCTGTTGTTTGCAGTTGTATGGCTTCTGTGTTTAAAGCACCTGGAGTTTCTAACCATTGCCTGGTGGGTATCACTGGCTTACTGGTCAGTTAAGTGATTGACACTACAGTGAATTTATTAATGAATCAAGTGGTTTACTACATTAGTAACCCCCTCATAAACAATCCAAATGGATTCCTTTTGTTGTTTTTAGCGTAGAAGCAATAATCTAGTACTCTTTGCAGAAAGAAGTGATGTAAAATCTTCCCAGATTTTACTGACTGCCTTGGAAAATTAAAAAAGCACAATGGCTATGCATCAGAAACTGCTTCTCCTCTGTCTGTGGCCGAGGCATCAGCAGGTGCATGAGCTGCATTGCCAGACATGCCTGCAAATCCACTTTCATTTCTGGGAACTTTGAACTGCCAATGATCAGTTCAAAACAGCTTCAAGGCAAAAGATCTCCTCTGGGTGAGATGCAGTGATGATATAATATAATATAATACAATAATAATATAATACAATACAATATACTATTATATTTAATATAATACTTTAATATAATATAATACAATACCATAAAATAATGAATTAGCCTTCTAAGAACATGGAATCAGATTCATCATTTCCTTCCTGCCACGGGGACCCTGAAAATACCACAGATCTGGGTTTGCCTGGCTGCAAACACAGCACAATCCTGTGCTCACTGAAACCTGAGTGAAGAGCAGCAGCACTCAGCAAACACCACAAGCTGGCAAGCATCAATACTACCCCAACCCTGTAATGTGCAGGGGATCAGAGCTGGGGACTCAGGGACACCAGTGACAGCCTGGGAGCTGCTGTATGACACAGCACACACTACAGAGAGCAGTGGGATGGAGGCAGGATAATGGAGGATAATAGCTGTGGAGTGAGAAATCATAATAGCTCAGCCTACGCAGAGGTTAGACTCCAGGAGAGTCATTATCTCAGCTCTGATGTCTGGGTGTCAGAGCTCCTAGGCCTGGTTTATTGGTTAAGTACATGGCTTTATTGCTGTTTATAGAAGTATGCCTGCATTCTGAGCAGCAAGGGAGCACATTAGCAGGGAAGCACTGAGCTTGCACCAGCTGCTGTGGGAGAGCATCCAGACCCCAGCCCAGCCTCAGTGACAAGATTGCTAAGTGCATACAGGAGGCTGCCTCAAATCTCAGGTCCCTGGCTGATGTGCAAAAGCATCTCAAAACACATTTCCTTCTTGATGAAAACATTCTTAACAGGGAAGAGGGAGTCAAATGAAGAGGGGGCAAAGCCATCCCTTTTCTATACCGCATTTGGGATGTTTTCTCTATCTCGCTTCCAGGTTTGTGAGTATTTCTGCATACAGCCAATTTCTACAGTAAGTATCACCACTCATTAATGATACCCTTTCTAGTACACTCCCAGGGGATCCCTACAGGGGCTGGCCATTGCAGCAGGGTCTTAGGCAGAGTTCAGCAGCATCTCCAGGTGTCTGGGTGATGGGGAACCCCTTCCCAGCATCCCAAACCACAGCCCTTAAACCTCATTTTCCTAAGTCCTCAGGTCTTTTTAGAGCACATAAAGGGGTGATGCCCATGCCAGTCCCCACTTGCCCTGGTGCTCTCTCAGAGCAGTGCTGCTCTCAGGGGTGCAATTTCCCCACCTTGGCACTGACTGCCTTTGTGGTGCAGGTTGGGAGCTGCTGAGGAAAGCATTGTTATTAGTTATCCTTTCCATCTCATGGTAGCTCTGCCCTTCCCAAGAGAATGCCCCTCAGACAGCTGCACTTCTCCCCCTTCTCCTTGGCTACATCTTTTGTTGCTCTTAAATACCAGTCATTATTGTCTCAGCAACAAATAGGA